AGTATCCCTTCTATATAACAACACTTTCCTTAGGTAGAGTCTAGCATAAAGAAGTACTAGGCTTCTTGTCTAAAGTTGGCCATTGGTCTTGTCTAAAGTTGGCCATTGGCCTTGTCTAAAGTTGGTCATTGGTCTTGTCACAAGTTGGCCATTGGTCTTGTCTAAAGTTGGCCATTGGCCTTGTCTAAAGTTGGCCATTGGTCTTGTCTAAAGTTGGCCATCGGTCTTGTCTCTAAATTGGTCTTGTCTAAAGTTGGCCATTGGTCTTGTCTAAAGTTGGCCATCGGTCTTGTCTAAAGTTGGCCATTGGTCTTGTCTAAAGTTGGCCATTGGTCCTGTCTAAAGTTGGCCATTGGCCTTGTCTAAAGTTGGACATTAATGACGTTAGCACCTCGCAGAGTTACAGTCGGCACCGCCAGCGTGAGACTCGTGGATGCGACCAGGTTTCATATCTGGCACAACCCATGTGGATTCTGGACAGGTGTGACACATGTGACGGCGGACTGTCCTCCAGGCTGGAGACAGCCGCCACTACTATCCGCCGTGTATGACGTCATAATAATATAACGTCTGACGTACGTCATGCGCGGCAAAAAAGGTGGAGGGGCAAACTCGTGAGGCCTTCTAACCTCCCACATACAACTTTCTCCAACTTCGGTCGGAGATCCGTAATGATTTTTGGGCTTTGAATGTTTAGTCTTTAAGCTGGTGTATCAGAGACAGGCGCCAGCTCCTGGGTACCGACAGTGCTTCATGATGCATCAACCTGGTGCACCAGTTCTGTTGTGTCAAGTTGTCTGTGTTGTCACGGGGAGGGGGTGGGGGAAGGGGGGGGGGTATGATGGTGAGTGGTGGGATGGTGAATGTCTGGGGAGTGGGTGATGGGGGGGGGGGGGCAAAAGGAGGGGCGGTTGGTTTGTATGGAATATTTTACATAATCTACATAACCAATACACAAAATTAGGCCTAGTGTGTAAGCAAGCCCGTGATGACTAATAATATAGATCCTGTCACCGTGACGTCATATTTAATGCGCTTCTTCCTCTATATCCTATATCCACCCGTCAAGGTCCCTCCCCGTCACGCCTCCAGTCACTGTCTCCCCCCAACCCTTGATTATACCGTCTCGTCATGCACTCTCTCCCACTCTACTACCTCCCCCTTCTCTCTCTCTCTCTCTCTCTCTCTCTCTCTCTCTCTCTCTCCCTCCCCCTCTCTCTCTCCTCTCCCCCCCCTCTCTCTCTCTCTCTCTCTCTCTCTTCCTCCCTCTCTCTCTCCCTCCCCTCTCTCTCTCTCCCTCTCTCTCTCTCTCTCTCTCTCCCTCCCTCTCTCTCATTATATATATAACAGTGGAGGCAGGGGATGTGAGCCCTCCTGCACCACCACCAGGCTGGGGTGTCCGGGTAGCGGAAAGGATTGCAATCACTCCCAGACCCTTACACACGTCTCACACACTTGTATCAGGCGAGTGCGTCCTCGCCCCCACACACTCTTCTCGTTGCAATAGATGCCATCAACCGATCACTGGCTCCATCTTTACAATTGCACAAGTGGAAAATAGCACCGTTGAGAAGCAGATTTTCTTCGTGTATATATATTTTTTTTTTTTTTTTTAACCAAAATATATAGGAGATACGATCTCAGGTTAATTGTAGGAGACCATAAGCCTCGAAGAAGAAGATATGCAGCACCCGGGAGAGCCTTGTTGGGCTCTCTTGTGCACGGGTATATATCGTCTTCTCCTACCACCCCTTATATATATATATATATATATATATATATATATATATATATATATATATATATATATATATATATATATATATATATATATATGTATGTATGCGAAGAACACGCCTGAATAGTCCCCAGGCATATATGCAACTGAAAACTCCTGTACACACAGGACTTTTGTACTCCTGTACACCAGTTGCATAGTGCTCCTGGCAGTATGGGTTCGAGTCACTTCTGGGTTTTGGAGTTTTCAGTTGCATATATATATATATATATATATATATATATATATATATATATATATATATATATATATATATATATGTCGTACCTAGTAGCCAGAACGCACTTCTCAGCCTACTATGCAAGGCCCAATTTGCCTAATAAGCCAAGTTTTCATGAATTAATGTTTTTTCGACGACCTAACCTACCTAACCTAACCTAACCTACCTTTTTCGGTTACCTAACCCAACCTAACCTATAAAGATAGGTTAGGTTAGGTTAGGTAGGGTAGGTTAGGTTCGGTCATATATCTACGTTAATTTTAACTACAATAAAATAAATTGACCTCATACATAATGAAATGGGTAGCTTTATCATTTCATAAGAAAAAATTAGAGAAAATATATTTATTCAGGAAAACTTGGCTTATTAGGCAAATCGGGCAATGCATAGTAGGCTGAGAAGTGCGTTCTGGCTACTAGGTACGACATATATATATATATACATATACATATATATATATATATAAAGCGGAATAACGACGACCTCACTTAGTGTAGGACGATGTTCGATTCCCGATGGTCTTCAAGGATGGGCTCAGTTGCTCCCTCTGTTATCCTAGACCCTGCCTTGATATCGCTTCCCCGTGCTATATACAGTGGTCACACTGGCTTAGTGCTTCCTCGGGTCAATTACATTACAGTTGATGGCACTTGTCGTCTTGTGGCGGTGTGTAGCAGTCGTGTCAGAGACGCGTCTTGCACACAGCCGAGGGAACACGCTCGCCGCACCTCAACCACAATATTCTTTTACATAGAAACTTTTTACAGTGAGGCAAGAAACTTCCCGGTGGCTTAATACTTTCTCCGATGTATCAGCGTTCCCTTGCCTTCGCTACAGTAGTCTATGACACGGATTTTTTTGTAGGCCTTCGCTACAGTAGTCTATGACACGGATTTTTTTTGTAGGCCTTCGCTACAGTAGTCTAAGACACGGATTTTTTTGTAGGCCTTCGCTACAGTAGTCTATGACACGGATTTTTTTTTGTAGGCCTTCACTTATTTTTCGTTGTTTCCTTTACATAATTTGTATTTGTATACAAAGCAGTTGGTGTAGTTTGGTTGCGACTGGTTCTTACGCTCAATGGTCATCTATATGACATGTTTATCTCCCGTCTATTGACTCAACATTATTTATGTCAGTTAGTTCACCCGTTATCAGATGAACCATCATGACAATATCTCTGACACCTCCAGCGTGTCACATGACACTTTTGTGACACTCTGTGCTGCCCTCCACCTCCAGCCTTTACTTCCCCGCAGCTGCCTCTTTATTTCTCCCTAAACCTCCCTCCCTCGATTCCCTTTCCATCCTTCTTTCTAACAAGTCCCCTTCATCATGCCCTCCCTTAAGTACCCTTCCATCCTTTGCAATCCCTCACTCTAGCCCCGCCTCCCCCCCTCCCCTCCTTCCGTATTCCATAAAGCCCATCTGTCACCTTCTATTGAAAATATAGATATTGGCGAAATCATTATATTGTACATTTTTCCAGGGAAATGTAGCTTATAGTGTAAATCCATGCCTCATATGGCGGCAACATCTCTGGTGAATCATATGTGCTCCAGCTTCCCGCTCCCACCTGTACAGTTTCCAGCTACTGACAGACATTACCAAACAATTCTGCGCTCAGTAAACGCCTCCGTAGTTACTGTTAGGTCAGCACGACCGCTACTCATCCCTGGAGCTCTCCCAGGCGTGATGCTCTTCTTTCACGCGCTACCTTTTTCCATCGCCTTTATTTGAATTCTACTTTACTGTGAATGGCAGTAGAGTTGGCAGGTGGGTGGAGGAGTGTGGTGCGGGTCCGTAATGAGGCAGTGCTGGCCGGACCTCGCTGGCCACATCACCATGCTGGCCATTCCCCAGGAGAAAAAGTTTATATTAGATCCGGTTGTAGCTATCGACGTGAGGGAAATATTTACACGTTACGCACTTGTGTGATGCAATACTGCCCACTGGTGAACCTTGCCTTCATAGCTCAAGGCTGGCTGGCTCTCTCTCTCTCTCTCTCTCTCTCTCTCTCTCTCTCTCTCTCTCTCTCTCTCTCTCTCTCTCTCTCTCTCTCTCTCTCTCTCTCTCTCTCTCTCTCTCTCTCTCTCTCTCTCTCTCGCTCTCTCTCTCGCTCTCTCTCTTGGGTGTAAATGGTCGTTTAAATGTGTGATTCTGGCTCCTTTCTCTTCTTCCCTCACTTATTAAACATAGCACACGTTGGCTACCCCGACATCACTAACCTGGCAGCAGCAGCAGCAGCAGCAACAGCAGCAGCAGCAGCAGCAGCAACAGCAGCAACAGCAGCAACAGCAGCAGCAGCAGCAGCAGCAACAGCAGCAGCAGCAACAGTAACAACAGCAGCAGCAGCAGCAACAGCAGCAGCAGCAGCACAGCAGCAGCAGCAGCAGCAGCAGTAGCAGCAGTAGCAGCAGCAGCAGCAGTAGCAGCAGCAGCAGCCGCAGCAACAGCAGCAGCAGCAGTAGCAGCAGCAGCAGCAGCAGTAGCAGCAGCAGCAGCAGCCGCAGCAACAACAGCAGCAGCAACAGCAGCAGCAGCAGCAACAGCAGCAGCAGCAACAGCAACAACAGCAGCAGCAGCAGCAACAGCAGCAGCAGCAGCAGCAGCAGCAGCAACAACAGCAGCAGCAAGGGCTAACCCCACAGTGTGCCGATCACACGTCACCTCAATGTTTACATTCACAGCTGGATGGACAGCATCTGTCAGCGTCCGGGCTGAGGAACGCCCCCCGTACTCCTGTCACACGCTCCAGAAAAGCATCTCTGGATGATGACTTTTAGTATCTCCCGACCCATGATAGTCCCGCAGGTATCCCCCTTTTGTCTCGCTGATCGACGAGTTCCATTGGTACGACGCCGCTGTTGTTGAGCGCTTCAGCCCTCGGGGAGCTGTATGACCCGAGGCGAGGAGTGGAGAGGTACAGAGTGAAGCAGGTTCATCTCTACGTATTACAATACCACATACACACGGGGACAATGTGTTCCCGGGTGCGGGAGTGTGACGGTGTACCACTGGCCAGGGGCCCGCTGGACACCACTGGCCAGGGGCCCGCTGGACACCACTGGCCGGGGCCCCGCTGGACACCACTGGCCGGGGGCCCGCTGGACACCACTGGCCAGGGGCCCGCTGGACACCACTGGCCGGGGGCCCGCTGGACACCACTGGCCGGGGGCCCGCTGGACACCACTGGCCAGGGGCCCGCTGGACACCACTGGCCGGGGGCCCGCTGGACACCACTGGCCAGGGGCCCCGCTGGACACCACTGGCCAGGGCTCCGCTGGACACCACTGGCCAGGGGCCCCGCTGGACACCACTGGCCAGGGGCCCCGCTGGACACCACTGGCCAGGGCCCCGCTGGACACCACTGGCCAGGGGCCCCGCTGGACACCACTGGCCAGGGGCCCCGCTGGACACCACTGGCCAGGGCCCCGCTGGACACCACTGGCCAGGGGCCCCAACGACCGCCAGTGGGCCACATTGCCCACAAGAGTTCAAGCAGGTGTACAAGTGCTCATAATGCCACACCCACCAACACTTACAGAGCGCGGCAGCACAAGTTACCACGCAGGTATGACACCAATTTGTTACCAGAGCTGAGAGTCGGGAGTTTCATGAACAGTCACGTAAGAGACTAAATTCATGTTACTAAACGAGAAGAAAACTGGTGACATGATCACGACATACAAAATACCAAAAGAACTCGTAGTTTTTGCGCAAGTTTTTTTTTAACAAGGGAGGGATACGAACGCGGAGAAGGGAACGGATCTATCAGAAAAAGGCGCCAAGGCATGACGACTATATAGGAATTGCAAGGGGATCATGATACGGATTATTAATGGGAAGGGGGAAGGAATGGTGCCCAACAACTTGGACGGTCGGGGATTGAACGCCGACCTGCATGCAGCGAGACCGTCGCTCTACCGCCCAGCCCAAGTGTGTAGCTCACAGGTAAAAGCGAAGTGTTTCAAATGAGTCAAAAAGATTTGAGGATGAACATGATCAGTGCGAGAGTAGTGAAGGTGTAGCATGAACTAGTCCGTGAACTACACTAGCTAACTCAAGGTTTAGTGCTGGAGTCCAAGAGCTGAAGCTCGTCCTCAGGTGAGGGGACGAATATAGACGTAATGAATGTAGGAAGTTGTGTTGGCTCCAGGAGACATAGTAGGGAATATGAAAGCTGCAACGTGAGTAGCAGAAACAGGAACAACTACAGCAGCAGCAGCATCAACAAGAGCAGCAGCAGCAGCAGCAGCAGCATCAACAAGAGCAGCAGCAGCAGCAGCAGCAGCAGCAGGGGGGGGGGGGGAGAGAGGACGTGCAGGCGCCGCCACAATCGGGCTGAGCACCCAGCTAACGATCGCTGCCACTACCGCCTAATAGACACTTTGAAAGCCCCAGCTGGTCACTTTACGAAGGCACTTGAGTGCCACTCTCTTACCATATGTTGTCGCAAACACCCGCGCCTTACAATAACAGTCTGCTTCACTCTCACAATTGGAATTTTAACACAGTTGCGAGATGTGTCAGGTTCGAGCCCCTGCAACCTCTTATTTTATTGCCAACACGCCATTTTTTTAAGCAATCGACCCCAGCGTAAAAACTGCTGTGGTTTAGGGAAATTAAATATACACCACAATATTGACGATTCCTAGGAATATGGCGCATCAGCTCCGGTGGCGTGGGAGTGTAGTCTAGGTTCTCACTCTTACGTAGGCTAAATCACTGCATTTTTTACGGAGCAGCAAATCTGGGGATCGAGCTTTGCCTTCGAGTACTAAGCCGCAAAATGTTATTCGTATGTCACGTTAGAAAAATCCTCCAAATGTTTAATATAGTGAAGTATTCATAGTGGGTGTCTCAACAACGTCCGCACTCTCGGTAATGTGCCAGAGGTCACTAAGAGGGCGGGGAACCGTTATGTTATCTCTGATGAAGCGGTCCGTCATCTACGGCGTTCACAGCGTCACTAAAATGATGTACTCGACTGCCCGACTCTAACCAAACCGGGCATCTACGATAAGAAAACAGGGCACATCACGTCAATTTTGTGAGTCGCTATGATTTTTAATACATGTTACTTTGACGTTGAGGATTGTTACGTCAAAATACGATGTGTAATACGAGAGGACAGGTATCCTCAGGGGGCAGGACTAGAGAACCACTCCCGTATATAACTCTTACACCACAAGAACATGTCAACAGCCCCAGAACATAACCAACAATACCGTGACCCTCACCAACACTTAACATAAGCTGCAGCTCACAATACACTACAAGAGTAATAAGATCGCAAAATTACCATTCAAGAAACCCAAAACTCTCCTAACCCAAAACAAAATGCATTGGAAGAGACAACTTTCGTGTGTGCCCACCTGGAGGGCTGTCAGCCCCAACGGTCTCAATATATTGGCAACACGATAGTACTATCAAAGCTTACGGTAATACACAAAAAACAGCTCCGTCAAAGATCACAATTTCTTCACCTAACCAAACCGTCACCAGCGATATCCTGACCAACAATACCGAAATTAATCGACAAAATACAACAACAGAAGATGAGATATAGTCGAAGTAACTCGTCCAACATCAACATCGAACTACAAGACTAAGACAGAACTACCAGCTCACACCACTCCTGCCACAGCCGAGACACGAAAATACAGAACAGGATTACCCAGTCCCTGCATAACACTTCCTCTCACCCTACATGTCATATATGACATCAAACCGTCTAATATGTATACATACACACACACAACCAGATGCCAGTGAGGGCATGCGGGGGTGAGGTGTCAGCTGACGGGACCAACACGTGTTATCACGTATAACAACAACACAAACGCACATCAGCTGATCACATAAATATTTACCCACCTCCCACAGGCCTCCAGTCTGTGGTGGAGGTGTGGGGGCGTCCTACAGGCCTCCAGTCTGTGGTGGAGGTGTGGGGGCGTCCTACAGGCCTCCAGTCTGTGGTGGAGGTGTGGGGGCGTCCCCCACACCTCCCTCCTAACATTTAACCACTGTTCTGTTGAAATGAAAAGCGTAACTAATCAAGGCATCACTGAGACACCGACAAAAGTACGCCATTTTTATCTTGGAAAGGAAGTTTTATTGGGCTTTAGTAGGGCGTGTTAGTTATGTTTAATTGAACTATTTGATGGGGTACCAGGATTTATGTTAGTGTCTCTCTGTCTCATGTTCTTTCTTCCTCTCATTCTCATTCCTTCCCGTTTTGTCTCCCTCTCCTCCCATCATTCTCTCCCACCCTCTCTTCTACCCACAATCTCTCTCCCTTCCACCCTCCCTGCCTCAGGTTCTCTCTCTCTCAGATCATGCAATATATGCAACTTGTAACAACATTGTAGTTACCTTTGAATACTGAATCTGGACCTTTTTTTTCATATTTAGGTATATTTCATTCCCGCAGCAGCTACCCAAGACCGGGGTTCTTCAAACTTTGTTTCTCCTCATCCAGTTCGATAAAAATACCATCACGACCCTAGTCTATCTGACGTGTAATATAAAATAAAGTAACAGGTAATATAATTTAGGGTTTTTGACGCATTAGTCAAGACGTGCAGTATTAATTTAAGGAAATTCTTTATAAGTAATCATTTATACAATAAATAAATTTAAAATTTGAATGTTGAGTGTGTCTGGTGGACCTCCACGTTACTTGCTATCTTGGCCCAGTCTGGAGCTGGATTGGTCAAACTTCGTTCGTTAGCCTGCACTGGCAAATTTTTGGTACATTGTGAGGATATCTTCAAGAATACGAGAGTGAATAAAGTAATTGCAAAGCTCCAGGTACCTCATGCCAACTGGTCTTAAAGGTCTAATAACTGGGCATTCAGTGATGTAGTGCGGGAGATCATGCCGTAGTTCCTGCTCACAGAGTTTGCAACTGGAGTGCTCAGGCCGTGATGAACCGTTTAAAATCTTGTGAAAACCTCTACGGAAAAACAAACCCCCATTTCAGCCTTCACGGGAGCCGTTGGTCGTGACCATAAGAGCCAATCACAAACCACCACGGGAAGTTGCGTGCGGCTAACCGCATGTGTGTGGCTTCCGACCTTGAACAGACACTTTCGTTTATACAGATAATGGGCGGAGTTAACTGTGTTTTATTGGACTCTGCTGGGGCGAGTTAATTGCGTTTCATTTATTTTTACTGGAGGTGAGTTAAGAGAATTTTAGAAATAAATATTGTCAAGGAATATATTTAGCTAATTGGGCTCTATTTGGATTTTTTTACAAATTATGAATGATAATTTTGGCAATGATGAAAGCTGATGAAAGCTCTACTTTTACGGGCATTAGTTATTGGGCGCTCACACACACACACACACATACACACACACACACACACACACACACACACACACACACACACACGCACACTGATGGATGGCGCCCGAGGAACGCCCTCGACGGACTGCGCGGGGTGGGCGGCCGCAGGACCTACTCACCCGCCCTGGGGTCAGCCTTGCTGGACTAGCCTTTTCGACATTTCGATACTTTGATAATTAAAGAGTAAAGTATATAAGATACAATACTTTGAGGGATTGACAAGGTGGAAACAGAGGAAATGTTTATACTGAATAATAAAACAAGGTGAGCCAGGTGTGGATGCTCGAGACTCAGATGTGTCATAGAGATGTTGGAAAGTTTTTCTTTAGCGTAAGAGTAGTGAGTAAAGACCTAAATGAGCAGATTGTAGAGGCAAACTCCATTCAAACTTTAAAAACAGATATGATTAAGAAATAGGCCAGGAGTCAATGAATTAGACAACCAACGGCTACATATCGGGGTTCAAGAGATAGAGCTCGATTTTGCAAGCACAAATAGATGAGTACAAATAGGTGAGTACACACAAAGGCTATGGGAGCTAAACCTCACGTTCCTGGAAGACAGAAGAGTAAAAAGAGACATGATCACCTCCTACAAAATTCTCAAAGGAATTGACAGGGTGGAAAATGACAAACTATTTAGCATGGGTGGATCACGCGCAAGGAGACGCAGGTGGAAACTTAGGCCCCAAATGAGCCACAGAGACATTGGCACTAAACAAATTCTTCCCAGAGTAGTTAACAAATGGAATGCATTAAACAGTGATGTGGTGGAGGCAGACTCCGTACACTGTTTCATATGGAGATTTGATAGAGCCCAATGTGCTCAAGAACCTGTAAACCAGTTGATTTAACAGTTGAGAGGCGGAACCAAAGAGCCAGAGCTTAACCCCCGAAAGCACAACTAGCTGAGTATACGGCTTAGTGAGTACACTCTGAAGTGATGACAACATCGTAGTGTACAACAAGACTATGCAAGAGTCCATAGAGACTGGCCTGGATTATCTGTTCCAACTTAGAGGAACTCTCCAGTAAAGAGCAAACGTTGCCTTAAGTGGCAAGAAAAATGTGGCTCATTAACGATGCAGCACACAAGAGGTCAATGGTGATTGTCCACAACCCAGACGACTCGGAGGAACTTCCCCCAAAAAAGTGGTGCGTGATAAACCTGCCTCAGGAAAATGGTCGAGGGAACCTTAATGAGCTTCCTATATGAAATTAATGAGGACTGGGAGTGAGTTCAGCCCCTTTAAGTAAGAGAAATTCCAGGAGGAAAGCCTTAAGAGGAAGTCCTTAAGAGGAAGGTTCAAGAGGCAACATATGAGGTCCTAAGAGAAGGTCCTCAGAGGAAGATATGCTCCAAGAGGCAACATAAGGAGTCCCGTCAGCAAGAGGAGGAAGACCACAGAGAGAGAGAGAGAGAGAGAGAGAGAGAGAGAGAGAGAGAGAGAGAGAGAGAGAGAGAGAGAGAGAGAGAGAGAGAGAGAGAGAGAGAGAGAGAGAGAGAGAGAGAGAGAAGAAGAAGAAGAAGAAGAAGAAGAAGAAGCTGAGGAACGTGCAGGAGAGACCAGACATGGGATTATCAAGGCTTTTCAATTCGTCGTCGCTAAGAAATTCTAATGCACACTACCACACACACACACACAGGTCCTCGCGGCCGAGCGAACAGCCTTCAGGGGTCACAGTCCACGATCCCGATTCCCGGCCGAGGCAGATATTCTTTCACCTGATACCTTTGTTCATCTAGCAGTAAATCAGATACTCAGGGAGTCAGTCAGCTGCTGAGGGCTGCATCCTGAGAGGGGGGAGGGAATATATGTAAGTGTATTTACTATTTATATCTGCAGAATCAAGCTATTTGCTCTTGGACCCGGCCTTTCTAGCCCCGAATGTGTGTGTGTGTGTGTGTGTGTGTGTGTGTGTGTGTGTGTGTGTGTGTGTGTGTGTGTGTGTGTGTGTGTGTGTGTGTGTGTAACTGTTCCCTAATAATCAAGATAACCGTCAATAACATTCCAGGTGGGTATAGGAAGGTGTTGTGCGGGGAACAAGTGCTCCGGCCGTCACCACCAACACTGGCACTTGGCACCCAGGGGGCAGATGGCACTACAAGGCACCATGTTGCCACTTTGATCCTCACTTACCACCAGCACACAAGCCCAGCGGTCGTCACGCCTCAGCCCTTTAACTAACTTTGTTATGCAAATGAACCAATATTCATTCCGTGTGTGTGTAGGGGGAGGGGGGGGGACGGTGGAGTATTCTCCTCTCATCCAGGGTGATGCAGAGGTCAGGGTGGCACCCAGGGTGAGGGAGAGGCCAGGGTGGCACCCAGGGTGAGGGAGAGGCCAGGGTGGCACCTAGGGTGAGGGAGAGGCCAGGGTGGCACCCAGGGTGAGGGAGAGGCCAGGGTGGCACCTAGGTGAGGGAGAGGCCAGGGTGGCACCCAGAGCCAACAGACGCCACACCCCAGCACCCAGGACCTTACAGGGCACCAGGAGATTACCACAGTTTAATTCCTCGACGTTGAAGAATCGCACGTGGAGCAGTTGGCGAAGCTCAAGGGGGGTGCTCAAGCGGGGGGTTCATGCCTCTCACACTACCACTCCAGTGCTCAAGCGATGGCTCCTGCCTCTCACACTACCACTCCAGTGCATACGCAGCGTCATCTATATCTTACATCCTTTGAACAATAAAACAGTGGTGTTGCAGGAGTTCAACAATGGTATAACGATAGTTGTAATGCAACGCGCCAACGGCAACATACTAACAACAGTAACCAATAGATGGAAAAAACAACGGCACCGGGAAGACGTCCGTAACAGGAATTTGCAACAGAAAAGGTAATATAAGCCAGCCAGGTCCAGCCTAGCTGCCTCAAGTGTACCGTCAGCGACTGGACGACCACTGCCGCAGTACCAAGAGGTCGTCCTGGCCAGACACGACCTCTGAGCACCGTCATCACGCCCTAAGCAGGGAGCACTAAGCTGCAGGGACCCAAGCTGCAGGGACCCAAGCTGCAGGGACCCAAGCTGCAGGGACCCAAGCTGCAGGGACCCAAGCTGCAGGGACCCAAGCTGCAGGGACCCAAGCTGCAGGGACCCAAGCTGCAGGGACCCAAGCTGGAGGGACCCAAGCTGCAGGGACCCAAGCTGCAGGGGCCCAAGCTGCAGGGACCCAAACTGAAGGTACCCAAGCTGCAGGGACCTAGACGAGCGGCCGGTGCCCGGTCGCTGCCTGCGTCTGCCTCAAATGCATGCAAAACCTCACTCTCGCTCCACCACACTTCATATTTCTCGACGTAGGATTTGAATATTGGAGTGAGAGGGAGGGGGAAGGTGCATGTTCACGTGCTCTCTCTCTCTCTCTCTCTCTCTCTCGTGTTCTCACGTATTGTGCCTGCAGGACCCAGCTGTTAGCCCTTGGAGCCGCTTTTCTAACCGTCGGTTGTCTAATGTACCGACTCTCAACTCAGTTTTCTCTATTATACCTCCTATATAACTCGCAACTTTTACTATATTTTACAATTCTAGTCTCTTTTACCCCCCCTCACCCCCCAAAAAAAGTCAGTAAACACCCCACGGATAATAGTGTCTGGGTTTCCTTTTGCGATGTGTATTATTTGTAACTTTTTTTTAACATAGTATTTTCGACAACCTTTCATAAATGTTTATGAATTTAATTGTTTCCTTAATTTTACTCGCGTGTGAGGCCTTTGTCCTGGTGGTTGGCACATTCTCTGAGTGACATCATGAGGGAATGTGTTTACTAGTTGTGTTTACTAGTTGTGTTTACTAGTTGTGTTTACTAGTTGTGTTTTTGCGGGGGTTGAGCTTTGCTCTTTCGGCCCGCCTCTCAACTGTCAATCAACTGTTTACTAACTACTTTTTTTTTTCCCCACACCACACACACACACACACACACCAGGAAGCAGCCCGTGACAGCTGACTAACTCCCAGGTACCTATTTACTGCTAGGTAACAGGGGCACTTAGGGTGAAAGAAACTTTGCCCATTTGTTTCTGCCTCGTGCGGGAATCGAACCCGCGCCACAGAATTACGAGTCCTGCGCGTTATCCACCAGGATACGAGGCCCCTAACCAATGTGGTGTTGTCTTCATGTTGGGGAGAGGCAGGTCAGCTGTACATATGTTAGTGGGCGACGGCCAGCCTCCTTAAGGCACTCCACTTTGCAGTTCACTTTTGTCAAGTAGTTGCCGATACTGAGCTTCCTATCTTGAGATATCTTGAGATGATTTCGGGGCTTTTTTTTTTTAGTGTCCCCGCGGCCCGGTCCTCGACCAGGCCGGAAGCAGCCCGTGACAACTGACTAACACCCAGGTACCTATTTTACTGCTAGGTAACAGGGGCATAGGGTGAAAGAAACTCTGCCCATTGTTTCTCGCCGGCGCCTGGGATCGAACCCAGGACCACAGGATCACAAGTCCAGCGTGCTGTCCGCTCGGCCGACCGGCTCCCGGTTTTGCTTAGTTGTGGTTTTCATATCATGTCTTTAAGGCCTGTGTGCCAGACTTTGTCAAAACTTTTAATATATCTCTAACGACTGTGTTACATTACTCTTTTATCGTCAAGACATTGGCAACATAACAGTATGGGCATAGACATAGCTGCATGGGCTTCTGAAGAAACCCATACAGATATATTTAGAAACCACAATAGCTGTGGTTTCTAAACCCAAGTTGTCTGGCGATATATTTTTCTTCCGCTACCACAAGTCGGTGATTAACTATTCTCTCGACATCTTTCACCTGATGCCTCGGGAAGAGGAAAAGCTCCGTAATTTGGTGATGGGAGTTTTCCCGGTTTAGATATTAATGTGACGGTGTCATGTTGACGTAATGTGGGGGAATGGTCCGGATGCAAGAGTTGCATTGCATATTCCCGTGTATTGATGGAGTGCAGTCACTGGGAGGTTAGTGACAGGGAGCCATAACACGAAGGGATAGGGGAAGGGGTAGAGGAGGGGGAAGCGATAGGAAGGGAGGGAGGAGAAGCGAAGGGGGAAGGGAAGCAAAGGGAGGGAGGGAGGGAGAGCGAGGGCACGGAGTTAAATTGGTCAAGAGGGGAAGTTAACTGTTGGGAAGGGGAGTGGACCGAACCATGCAGAGGTATTGGGGAGAGAGGCTTGGACGCTGGCTCAATGATGCCGGCTTGTGAGTGAATGATGCCAGGTTATGAGTGAATGATGCCAGCTTATGAGTGAATGATGCCAGGTTATGAGTGAATGATGCCAGGTTATGAGTGAATGATGCCAGTTATAGTGATGTCCCAGCTTATGAGTGATGCCAGGTTATGAGTGAATGATGCCAGGTTATGAGTGAATGATGCCAGGTTATGAGTGTATGATGCCAGGTTATGAGTGAATGATGCCAGGTTATGAGTGAATGATGCCAGGTTATGAGTGAATGACGCCAGCTTATGAGTGAATGATGCCAGGTTATGAGTGTATGATGCCAGGTTATGAGTGAATGATGCCAGGTTATGAGTGAATGATGCCAGGTTATGAGTGAATGATGCCAGGTTATGAGTGAATGAAGCAGCTTGTGAGTGAAATGAATGACGGCGTCTTATAAGAGAATATAAGGGATTGGCAAATAAAAAGAAACATTCAAATAGCTACAGGTGAGAGTGTTATGAGTGGTGAGAACGTAATATGAGTAATGAGTGCATATTTTGAGTGAGTGGGGGGTGGGGGGGAAAGATGTATCGTCCACAAGGGCCGAGGGATGGAGGGATGGAGGATTGTAGAGAGAGGGGGGGGGGGAGGAAGCTGAAGCCAGTGTAGGAAACGGGCTTGATTGGGTTGGGATATATATAGAAAGGTAGAGAGAGAATCTACCCCCTGCCTCATTCCCCTACCTCATTCCCCTGCTTCATTCCCCTGCTTCATTCCCTTGCCTCATTCCCCTGCCTCATTCCCCTGCCTCATTTCCCTACCTCATTCCCCTGCCTCATTCCCCTGCCTCATTCCCCTACCTCATTCCCCTGCCTCATTCCCCTACCTCATTCCACCCCCCCCCCTCCTAATCATCCCGTTGACTTCAACAGAGATAATGATTATTCGGACATTCATCATGTGTGCTATTATCATACATAAATATATTATACACTTGTATTCCGTCGACTAAACTATTAATATAAACAACCATTTAGGAATAAATATGAAAAAAAATTAAAATTGAATTCAAGCCAATCTCCATAAGCAGATTATTGAGATTTTGTGTGTATGCTGTATACAATACAATGATAAATATTGTATTATTACTTATGCTATGTATAAATATATAATGACTTGTATTATGAGCACACACACAGCTTTTTAATGATGTATAGCAGAACATTATCTATCAGCGCACGAACAAATACCCGCGTTGATTGTTGGAGGAAATGTGACAATAACGCTGCTGTTCAGTGGGTGTTGTTGCTGCTGTTATTATTGTTGTTATCAGTAACGAGCATCATGCTCAACAGGTCACGTGGGTTACCTGGGTTCGTACGCGTCTGGCTAGGCAAGAGCACTTTAAATCACACGCTGAACATATATAGGCTGAGCAAAGGGTGGAGAGGGTACATGTTTAAAGTAAACGTCAAAGAAACATGTAAATAACATTCTTTTCTGAGCATAAGAGCGAGCTCTAAGGAAGGTCAGGTGATGAGGCTGCGTTCGGCCGGAAATACCAGAGACGGCGTCCCAGCCTCGCTAACGGCTCGTGGGCCGTACCCTCTCCTTCCAGAATTATTGTCCTGCTGGAACCAGCACGGAATCAGGCTGGAATCAGGCTGGAATCAGGCCGGAATCAGGCCGGAGCCAGGCCGGAACCAGGCCGGAACCAGGCCGGAACCAGGCCGGAATCAGGCAGGAACCAGCCCGGAACCACTAAGACCAGCATCCCACAGCACCCTAAAACCAGCAGCCTCAAACTTCATTGGTAAATAACTATTTTCCAAAAGCACTTTTAACAAGTCCTTCAGTATTTATACTTATTTTGTAAAATTTTCCAAATACGGTGACACTTGTTAAGTTTACATTCTAAAGCCTCCCCGTGTATTTTCTTCCCATAAAGCTTCCCGATGTTAAGTTTACACTCTACAAAGAATCCCCTTGTTAAGTTTACTCTCTTTAAAGCCTTCCCATGTTAAATTTATCCTCATAAAGCCTCCATGTTATGTTTGTCCCAATAAAGCCTCTCTAGGTTAAGTTTAACCCACATAAAGCCTTCTCATGCTAAGTTGATAAAGTTACAACCTATAAATCCTCCCCCATGCTAAGTTTACCCCCATACCAAGTTTCTCCTCCATAAAACCTCCTCGTGCTAACTTTACCCTGGTAAAGCCTCCCCCCACCCCCTCCTGCTAAGTTTACGCGCCACAATCCCGCCCATCGAAAGCCAAATAGGTTACCATCATCAGTAATCACTTGTCGATTAAAGCAAAGCTGTCGGGTAAATGGGCTCGCTCCAACACACGTGGTCAATGACCCATAACAATTGTCTAACTACCGTATACTTATTTTACTGCTAGGTGAACAGAGGCATCACGTTAAAAAAACCTGCCCCAACCATTGTTCTGTCCTGCCCGGGAGTGAACCCGGGACCCCTTGGTTGTGAGGCAATGTAAGTGGACGCCAAACACCCCCATACAGAGTTCGACCCTCGGTTGGATAATGCTTATTGAGTTACACAGTTCTCAGACGTTAGCAATCAGACGACCCTCGGACACACGTGATGGGAGCAGCCTCCGCCTTGTTGTCTTCATAATGTACTTGCTTCCCGTTCACTCACCTTCCGCACACATGGGTCTGACTCGCAGCATTACAGGGGTAATGCTGCGAGACGTCTCCCCATGCTGCTTAGCATGGGAAGACGTCGGGGTGACCGCAATCATTTGCAGCACTCCGACAGGAATTTAAATCATCATTTTGTCACCTTTTGTTTCCCTATCTGCATATTCCCACATTAGGACAATCAGGTTCGTGCTCTACTCACACTCAACAACCCGGGTTTTAAATGCTAGGCGGGATAGAAACGGTTCATGCATCGGTCCGTATCAAGTTTGTATCAAGCTTCGGTCCCAGGCCCCGACAGTATCAAGCTTCGGTCCCAGGCCCCGACAGTATCAAGCTTTGGTCTCAGGCCCCGACAGTATCAAGCTTCGGTCTCAATACCCGG